GAAAAAAAAATCGCTTAATTTTTTTTCTCTTTATTGAAGACGCTTCTGATTTTTACAATAAAAATTTTGTTTTTCCCCTCTCTTATTCATAATAAATTGACATGAAAATAAATAACCTTTTCTTAAAATTTACATTGAATGTATTTTTTCTTTATTCCTGTTTCTTTTAAAATTCAGATTTAGATCATTGGAGAACAGTATAAATCACGAATTGTTTGGTATAACTAACATTATACGTAACATATAATACTAATATAAGTTAAAACTCAGAAAGGCTGCGCTATTCTACCAAAAAATGTTTATGAAATAAGGAGATCCATATTAAAAAACAGACTTTTTGAAAAATAAACCCAAAATGCTGTCGTCGTTAAAAAATAGTGACGAAAAAATTCAATTGAGCAAAATTTAATAATAATCAAAATGATATTTTTTTTAGTCAATTATCTAATTTTTAAGGGTTTGATTTATTTCTATATATTTTGCATTTTATTCATGTGTTTGGATAATGTAACGGTGATTCTTTTGAGAAAAACCTTTAATCTAGAATTTTTTGTTTCTTCCATTTAATTATTATGATTTTAAATAATATTTCACATACTTTAATAATTTTTTTAAAAACAATAATGTCGAATAATTACTTTATTTATAAATTATAGATGTATTTTTTTCTGTAATACTGTAGCATTTTTCCATCGTATTTTTTTAAGTTTAATTAAAACTATATGCACATCAACAGAGAGAGAAGTTAATATTTTCTTTTAATAATGTAGACGCTTCTAAATGCAACACACGTTTCTATTTCTAAGCTACTTCCAAGTGCTTTACCTTTTGCAATAAATTTCATTTTTATTTTGTTTAATGCTTATGAATTCTGTAAATTTTCCTAGCACTGGTTTTATTTTCTTTGTTTATAGAAGGCAGACTTCTTCCAGTCAATCAGAGACAGCGGGTGTTCCCCAACGGAACTTTAGTGATCGAAGGGGTCCAGCCGAGAGTGGACGATGGCCGCTACAGCTGTGAGGTTACTTCCAGTCAGGGAATACCAGTTTCTCGTTCGTTCCGGATACTCGTTCGAAGTAGGTGAACATCTGTTCTTTATTGATATTTACTAATTTTTTCGTCCGCCTTTGTCTCGTTTTATGTTATCCTGTGGGTATTAGTCACCTGCAAGCCATGTTCCCTACTCATATTGGTGTTCGGAAGAAACCCTCAATAAAAGTTTAATAGGGCAGCGGCACTGAAGTTGGATTTCAAGCGCTTGTTTTTAAAAAAAAAATGCCTTATTTATCTAGAATACTTAGGGGGGTACCCTTAGAAAGTTTTCTGATTTTACTTATACCTTTTTGTTTACCTAAAGTAAGATATTTTTAATTTTTTTTATATTTCATATATTTAATGTTGTTTTTGTCAAGCTTTTATTTCCAGCTTCCTTTTAGATTTGGTAATAGTAGATAAGCTAAATAAAAAGTGCAACTGCTTAGAAAATTAAATAATCCCTGAGAAATATTAAGTACCGTAAGAATATAGAGAAATGTATTAAGTACCGGCTTGAAAGTATAGGTGCACATATAACGCACACCTATACTTCCAAGCTTCATTTTTTTTTTTTTAATTTTTAGGTATATTCACCGTTTTTATGAAGAAATCTGAAATGTACGTTTGAAATGCTGTTATGTTTTGAAGTCATTTATTTGAGGTATCATCCCAGGCTTTTGGAAAAATAGTATATTTCCAGAACTATAAGTCTTTGAGTTCATAAGCCATGCCATTTCTTTTAAATAAACAGTGTTTCGATATACACTCGATTACAGAAAAAAAAAAAAAAAAACGAAGCAACAAGAACGAGATGTTGGATAGAGACAAAAATAAACGGGAAGAAAGATTATGTACAGAATAGAAAATGATTCAAATTTTCTGAAATTTGAATCATTTATTTCATTTAAATTTAAATAGTTACAAAGTAACGAGCTCAGTAAGATGATGATCCACCTCTAGCCTAAATGCAATCTGCTACACGACGAAGCATAGAGTGATATTGCACTCTGATGGTCTCTTGCGATGTTTCTTGCCAACTTTTCTCCAATTGTCGATCCAGGACATCGACATTTCCTGATAGATGCAGTCGCCTTCCCATCAAATCCCAGACATGCTCGACTTTAGATAGATCTGAGGATATGGCTGACCAAGGAAGTGTGTGACAAGCTGTAAGGCAGTTCATAGCAATACGAGCCGTATGAGGTCTGGAATTATCTAGCTGAAAATAAGGCCAGGGTACTGCAAAAGGAACGGTAGCAAAACAGAATTTAAAGTAAGTGTGCCTCTAATGACGACCAAAGAGGTCCGACAGTCAAAAAAAATTGCTACCCAAACCATAACTCCTGATTGAGGGCTTGTGTGGTGTGCAATAGCGAAAGCAGGAACAGCATGCTGCCCTGGGCGTCTCCAGACACGTCTTCAACGATCGTTAGGACACAGTTGTAAGCGAGATTCATTTCTAAATAATTTACTTCCCCAGTCAGCATCATTCCAACCTGATCAAGCAAAGCACCACTGTAATCTGACTCGACAATGGGTAGGTGTGAGTGGCAAGTGGCTTAGAAGTCGGTACGAGAGTAAATTTTGCTCTATCAGCCGTTTGTGAATGGTCATGGCGGACACTCGTGTGCGGGTCGCACGTCTGATGGTTCATGACGATAAATCAGGCGATGTCACAGCTGATATGAGAATCAATTTTTCCACCCCATCTGGTGGGGCCAAAGGTCGACCGCTACCATCATGACGCTGAAATATATCATTGCCCATCCAATCTTGCCCACATCTTCTAATGGTTGCATCGCTTCGACCCGTATGACTAGCGATTCTCCGATTTGTCCAACCTTCCTCTTTCAATCCATTGATATGACCTGTTTCAAACTCTGAAAGTTCCTCGTAATGAGCTC